ATTCTTAATTGGGTCATTGTACTATCAAAATGAATTAACCATATATGAATAGATTTATTTCTGGACTGTTAATTCTATTGACCTCTATGTTTATTGGTTCTTGGCAAATCATACGATCTTAAATTACTGTAGTTTTGTAATAAGTCTTGTTTTGGTGGAGAGGGAGGTAATTTTATCTTTTTATTTTTTGAGTCTGGGTCTTATGTAGCCCAAACTAGCTCCAAATTCACTATGTAGCCATGGTCTTGAACTTCTATTCCTCCTGCTTCTGTTTCCACCTTTCAAGTGCTGGTATTATAAACATCAGTTTTGTTTTGCTTAGTGTGGGTCCCAAATACTCAGGAGGCCGAATCAGGGGGATCAGTTAAGTCTAGAAGTTGGACCATTTGGTTTTTTTGGAAACAGGATTTCTCTGTGTAACTTTGGAGCCTATCCTGGCATGAGGTTGGACCATTTGTAAACACAAAAAAGACAACATCTCAAAAGGCAGTTGGGCTGGGAAGGAGTGGCAATTAAATGGCTATAGAATGAATTTGTAAATGGTTTTACAAAAGAAGTAAACACTGCACCTTAATTAAAATACACATTTACTCCTTTATATTTTAATCTTCTTTCCAAATATAATTAAGTAATTAGACATGCTGTAAATTGACAGCACACTAATTTGTTATTCACTAGTTATTTAAATCCCTGGCAACAGCAACTTATTTCTAGTGTGATCTTAGATTTTACTGGCAAATGATCTGTGATGTTAAAAGAATTAAGAAATATTTTAATGGCACAAGGAATTCATGATCCTATTACTAGTTATGGACTACTAAGTGACTGTTCAATAGAACATATGCTGATAAGATAATGGCAAGGTGATACAACATTTTTGTTCTAGCATTCATTCAAGAAAGCTAAAACATAGCAATAATTACTTAAAGGATAGATTGTAGTAAAATGATTTGTTATAAAAAAAAACATTTCTAGAGGAGATGGTAAGATTTGGGATAGGTAATTTACAAGATACCAGGAAACATACACACTGCCAGGCATGAAACTGGGCTCACAAACTTCTGCTTAGACCACTGGCCTTACCTTCCTAAGATGCTCAATCATATTTATGGGACAAGGACTTTATAGTACTGCAAATGTAACTGAGGTTCACAAATGATTCAGTATGAAAAACACACAAAATGAAGCAGAATAGGTTAGGGAGATGCCTCTATAATCATCAAAATAGAAAACAAAAAAAATATTTAAGATTTAATAAGTCGGCTGGGCACAGTGGTACACCCCTTTTATTCCCAGCACTTGGGAGATGGATGCCAGAGGATCTCTGTTAGTTCAAGGCCAGAGTTAGTTAGATTCTGTCTCAATAAACAAAACAAAAACAAACAAAAAACCCAAGTAGTTATCTTAAATAATGAATACCACAGGGAAAAAAAAATGGCCATTAAAGGAATTAAACTGGTACTAATCTAATATTTTTTCTTTACTAGAAAGCAAGGAGAGCAGAATATAAAACTTAAAAATTGATTTTTAATTTTTTTACTTCTAATGTCATCTTTAATCTCAAGGACAAGAGTTACTGCCCAAGCAAGGGAATGATGCGGTTGAATGTAAGAGCCTATTTAGGAGTTAATGCTTGAACAACTTTTCATTAAGGTTAGGGCTTAGGACTCAATGGATACTTTGTCGGTAAAACTTGAGTCTTCACCAAGCAGAGGAGTATAGGTTTAAATGCAGCCCCAGAGGCAATTTGAGATTATTTGGATATGTAACAGGAGTTGAGAGCTGGTGCTGCTATAAATAGGGACCAAAGTGCCATTCGAGCATTTATTACAGGCCTTACAGAATGAGCAGGAGAGAAAGAAAGAACATGATCTGGTGTCACCCCATTTGTCCCAGGAGACTCTGGAAGCTCAGACCTAGAAAAAGCCAAATCAGCACAAAAAGCATATATCCAGCAGATGAGGAGGTTACTCAGGAAACACTGAAGAGAAGTGGTGAATTTGGAGCAATTAATAGAGCCTTCTACTGCTGCCCTGGGAAAGATGAGGCTGTTCAGATAAAGGGGTAAAGAGTATGGATGAATACCAACAATAATCTGGAGCTTATCTAAGAAACATTAGTAAATTTAGACTATAGAGTTGGATGTCAAGAACTGAAGATAACCTTGAACACACAGTGTAGTGGGTTTATTTTATTTTTCACCTTAATGTTCTTCACCTGGAATCCAGTTCTGATCCCAATTTACTGTGTGTATAATTTAAGGAGGAAACATTATACACACCTCTATAAAAGGGGCTGATGCGCTTTGTATGATTTAAACATATATTTTGTAACTCTTCAGTACCACCGACTGCAATGACTAAAGGACTGATAAGCATAGGTGGCAAAGAGGAGGACTGTAGGGTAGTCTCAGAATGCCAGAAATGAGTGTTTTAGTGGCACAGGGACAGAAGCCTTCCTGGATACAAAGTACAGCTTAGAAGGGCATCACTCATTGTGCCAGGGGAAGGAAGAGCCAAAGCTAAGGCAGCAGTCAGATCCCCTATCCTCCACTCCTGCTACAGAGAACTATAAAGCACAGACACAGAGTGAATGACAAAGACTCAAAAAAGTAAGGAGAGTATGAATACTCACCACAAGCATTACTATACACAGCAGATGCCAGATTCAAGAGAATCACAGCTCCCCCCTCCCCCGCCCCCCAAGACAGGCTCTCTCACTGGCCTGGACCTTGCCCAGTCAGCTATGCTGGTTGACCAGCAAGCCCCAAGTATCTACATGTTACTGCCTACCCAGAGCACCACCACACCCTGCATTTTAACGTGAGACTTGGTTATCAAAACAGGTCCTCATAATTCTAAGATAAGTGCTTTACCAAATAAGCCATTTCCCCAACCTCAGCAATAGATCATTTTACTGAAGCCCTACCCTATAAAAGATAAGGATGCTATTGCAATGGGATTCAGGTAAATGACTGAAGAGTCCTATTACACTTAACTAGTTGTGGTGGTTTGAATAAGAATGGCACCCGTAGGCTCATACAATTGAATGCTTAGTCACCAGGGAGAGATACTGTTTGGGAAAACTTATGGGGTTGGGCTTTGAGGTTTCAAAAGCTTAAGTTAGCACCCTCTTCTCCTAGCTAGCTACCTGTAGATCTGGATACAATGCTCTAAGTTACTGCTCCAGAGCCATACCTTTCTGCCTACTGCCTTGGTAATAATGGGCTGACTCTGAAACTGTAAGCAACTCCCCAATTAAATGCTTTCTTTTATAATAATTGCCTTGGCAATGGTGTCTATTCACAGCAAGTGACAAAGATGCTTTTCACTTAGAATTCTTTCTGAGTTTATGATAACTTCTGTAAATGGAAAAAATTAGTTCAAATATTTTAGGATGAAAATAATACAATGGAATCAGACCAGCATACAATTAAGTGGTTACTAAAAAATAAGGAAGGGACATTAATACTAAAAGAAGAAATTTAAAACAACGTTGTCTACATAGATCCTTTTTTTCCTCATGTAATTTAAATGCTGTCAGAATGCTGAAGACTTAATTTAGAAGCTAGCAGAAATAAAACATTAGAACTTTTGAGTATTTGTCATACTTAGTGTCTAAACTGAGCTTTCCTACAGAATTTCTCTACTTCACTAAATTCACTGATTGCTGCTATTGCTCTACAGGTAAAACATTTCATGTCATAAAAATCTATACAGAATGGCCAATATACTAGCTTATCAGGGTAAGGTAAGTCCTTTTTATTTCAGTCTTTTATACTGAAATGTTCTTAAATAAGTGATACATCAGAGTTCTAGTTCTCACTAGTGCTAGGCATTTAAAATTATATAGTGTATTTAAATCACTATATATTTTGTAGGAGCAACCCTATAAGCTATCATTAGCTTCCTTTTGGAGACAAAATAGAGCCATATATGATGATTACATAACTTATTCACTTAACTTTAAAATAAGCATGTTACATTAGCTTAATTTGTTGTGGATCAGTAATTGACCAAAACATAGAGTTATAGATTCTTTTTTTAAAAAGATTAACTTTACCTTTTAATTATGTGTATATATGTGCCTGTTTGGGGGCATGTGCACATGAGATACCTTCAGAGGGCATCAGATCACCTGGAGCAGGAATGATGAGCCACAAGACAATGGCTACTGAGGAGGAGACTCAGGACCTCTCTGTAATACCAGAACATTCTCTTCACTGAGTCATCCTTCCAGCCCCAAAGATGTAGATTTTTAACCAGTATTTTCTAGACTTGTTTCTATTTTTCATCAAATTCTCAACAAATCAAACCACCTATTAGTGATAACTTTTGTTTAAATTCTTTAGTTCACAACCTTTCAGAAAAAGAGCAGCGCCCACAGACTTGTACTGCTCTTTAATCAGTCAAACAATAACCTCTGGGGCACTGAATTAGGATAAATAAAAGGTGTCATCACTTATTAAAGCTATTTCTTCAGCAACAATACATACAGAGAACTTACAAATTACCAACCTCAGTCATCAGCTATTGTTGCTTTATTGAAACACAAAGTACTGTTCAACATGTGATGGTGGTCATACAGAGAAAGCTAAGTTTTATTGAAAATTTTGTGAGCCTGTGGTTTAGATAGAAACGATCGCTGTAACAAGGAAAGGAATCTCACATGCATTGCATATACAGTTGGTATTCAGACATAATATATTTGATATTTCAAATAATGTAACTGCAGAGGAAAAAATACAACATGGTTTCCCAGAAAGGCCAAGTGGTGAGTTAAAGAGAGGGTTGAACTGTAGGTGAGGAGTGGGAGACAGGCCTGGCTACTTTCAGTCTATGATGCCAAGAACACTGCTTTTGGTGTAAGTGAATCCTATTTGGAATACAGACAGGAAAACAAGCTGTATTGGAATTAACAAGGAGAAAACAGTTTTAGTTTTATATTCAAATCCATACATTTAAACAACACTAAAACTGCCCTCAAAACTGGGCAAATACCTCGAGTGTAGTTCTGTGCTGCCATTATTGTATTTGCTTCCTCTTTCCCAGACACCGAAATCAGGAACACGGTAAACTCTTTCTACACAAAATACAAGGTTTTGAATAAAAGAGACCTAAAAGAAAGGAAAAGAAATGTACATAAGAACACATGTGACACAGAGAATAGTTACAGACCTTCTGAAATTCAAGTATGAACTTATCTTCCACAGTATATTACTGTCTTCTTTTTCTTAAGACATGGTCTCATATACTCCAGGCTAACCTCTGACTTTCTGAGAAGCCAAGAATGACCTTGAATTTCACATTCTCCTGCCTCCACCTCCTGAGTGCTGTGAGTGCCACACGTAGTTTGGGGAATGCTGGATACTGAACTCAGGGCTTTGTGCACACTAAGCAATCATTCCACTGACTAAGATATATTCTGGGATGCCCAAGTACATTTTTTAACACATTGAATTCTTGTGATTATTACATTATCATGAGTCCCCTGCTATGCTTAGTTTTTCAAATATAATGCTTACTTTTGGTGAGAATCTAATTAGTACTATACAGTACAGAAATAAAATATAAATCCATTTAATGATCCAACTATAATTCTTCAATGAGGTAATGTCACTGTTTATGAGGGCTATTCATAAGAACTAAGTAAAACACAGAACTATGTTATATTGGATAACATTTAGAAACTAAAATGGCTATATGAAATACACACATACACACATACACACACACTAACTGTAAAGCTTTGAAGAGTAAAAAAATAGCCTTTTAAAAAGTAAAAGGGAGGCTGGAGAGATGACTCAGAGATTAAGAGCACTGACTGCTCTTCCAGAGGTCCTGAGTTCAATTCCCAGCAACCACATGATGGCTCACATCCATCCGTAATGAGATCTGGTACCCTCTTCTGGTGTGCAGATATACATGGAAACAGAATGTTGTATACATAATAAAAATCTTAAAAAAAAAAAGTAAAAGGGATTTTTCTTTTTTTGCAAAATTCTGGTCCCACATTGATCAGCCTGGAGTTTTCAGTGCATGCTTCTGGAAAGTAATTTTCCTTCCTGTCCTTTCTGTGCTATAGACCCTGATTATAAACACAGCCCACAGCTGGCAGCCATGCAGGACAACTGAGACTGCAGAGAGCTACACTGAGATTAACATAAAGGAAGCCACCTGGCAGCATGCTGCGCCTTCTCTATTTCAATGTTATAAAGACAGCAACTTTGGATAATCAATCTGATTTCTTTTCCATTTCTGTTTCCTTTAATCCTTTTCTGACAATAAAGCTGATATGAATCTTTATTCAATTGGTCACCCTGGTTAATCACCCACTTAGGGGCTTTAGCTAGTCCCTTAATTCTTCTTCTTTTAGCCCTGACTTGTGGACCTTGTATCATTATCACCTTAATCAGGTTTGTTAAGGAACAGTTCTCCATGGTCCAACTGATGGTTTTAAAGCACCTGTAAACCTGGAAGAAGCATCTCCAGGATTTGAGATGATGCACCATTCAAGGGGAGAATGAGGGGTCAGGCAAATGTATGACAGGCCCCTAATAACTCAGTTAAGAACTAGGCCTCAGCCCACAAACAAAGGGCAATCAATCACCAATGTCCCTGACACTGGATGAGGCAGAAAAGTCTGGGCTAACACCACCTCTCACAGGTGATAACCAAATAAAGGCAGAGCCTAGGACTTGTCCAAGAATGGAAAAGCTATAGCTTTGTCCCCACGCCCCACTAGCCCTAACCAATTAGAAATGTAATATGATTGTCACTTTTGTAAACCAATCCTAGTAGAAAGGTCTCACTGCTTTTAAAATTCCTGTAGCTGTGCTTAAAGGAACTTACATGCCCCTCTCAGGGTTGTCACCATTTTGTATGGATGTGCTACCCCACATGCTCTTGGAGATTGCATTGTGACTAGTAGTCTTTTGGGGATTTCTCATGGATCCTAACAAAAACCAATTTCTTCTGCATGGTCCTGAGTGGTCTTTTCAAAATCTTTGGAGGTGATATTCTCCAATTCCCAAATCACTAATGAAAACAATGAGGTCATCAATTTTCTACATCATTTAGTCAAAAATGTTTTATGAATCTTGACAGTGTCATGATTTTCACAGTGGACCTTTACACCCTTCTTCATCTACCCACTCTCTTCACATGGCTCTCTCTCTGTGTTAACTAACCTGATTGGTGTCTTGGGCCCCAAGTGGTTCAATCATGTTAGTTTTGCTCATTTCTAACTGAAACATTTCTTTTCAAAAAATGAATTTTTCTTCAACCTCAATTCTAAAGGATGAACTAGCTAATAATTCTCATTGTTCTTAGAACCATAACTACAGCTTATCTTTTTTTTCCTATGCTGCCCTCCACCACCTCTAATTAGTACCCAGGACTGCTCCTCTTGTTTGTAGCTATATAGTACCACAAGCTCTCAACCTGAAAATGGAATGAGATTTCTGCCTATGTATTCCATTTCATGTGACTAGTCATATGTCTTATTAGAAAAAATTAATGTGATAATTATGGAGTTCTCTCTAAAGCCATTCTGGAATTAACCTATATATATATATATATATATATATATATATATTTAGATATCAGTATTGCTTTTAAAATTACATTAAAATAACATGTGTCCCCGCATGAGTATGCATTTATGCATGAGTATATGTGTATGAGTGTGTGTGTATCACAATATGCATGTCGAGGGCAGAGGACAACTGTGGAAGTAGAAAACCATTTCCCACTATATGAGTGACAGGGATCCAAGTCAAGCCTTTAGGCAAGGTGTCATGTACCTTTACAAACTAAGACATCTTACTACACCTCTTCCCCCTTATTTTAAAGACAGAATACTGCTAAACCATGAAACCTGCAAGCTACCTGAGAACTCCTGGACTGCAGCACTCTTTGCATCAGCCTTGTAAGGAGTTGGGAATACAGGAATATATCTCTATACCGTGTACTCTTTTTTAATAAAAACGACTTTGAGATTTCAAATATACCTAAATTGCAAAGGGTTCTGCAAATAAGGAGCTACAGATCAGCATAACTCCCCTGACACAGAAATATAAACCTTTGTGGTTTTCACATGAATGTACCAACAGATGAACAGATGAGAATACAGACCCTCAAGTTATAATAAACTGAATGGATAGAGAAAATGTGACCTAGATAAACAGAATACTATCCAACTGTGGTGATGTACTGTTTATGATCTAATAAAGCCACTGAAGATCAGAATGCAAAGCTAGCCACAGCCATAGAAGCTGGGCAGTGGTGGCATACAGACACCTTTAATCCCAGGACTAAGGAGACAGAGGCAGATGGATCTCTGTGTGTTCAAGTGTATCAGTCTAAAAGAGAAACAGAGCTCATATCTTTAATACAAGAACTAGCAAGGTATATAAGATAAGAGCAGGGAATTCAGTATTCTGTATTTGGAGAATTAGTTTTCAGCCACATTGAGAACAGGATTGTCCCAGCCTTGGGGTAGATAAGAGACCTCTGGTGGCTAGGATGCTTTGCTTTTCTGATCTTCAGTTTGAACCCCAATATCTATCTCTGGGTTTTTATTATTTGTGCTACATCAGACAATTAAGAAAAACAAGATTATACAACTTCCAGGAAAATGTATGAAACTGGAGCTCTCTTCATGATAAGTGAAATGTTATTCTAGGCCCAGGGAAACAAATACTGCATGTGTTCCCTTAAAAAGGAATTGAAAGCAGAAGGAATACTTAGGAAGATCAGTGGGATGGGGAGGAGTTAAGGAGAGAATAACAGGAATGATCCAGATATAAACACACAATTTGGATGTATGAGAACACCTGATGTAACTCATCATTGTTTAAAGAGAGAGAACTGGGTACCCAAGGAGACAAGAGGTTACACAAATTTGAGAGTAAAAATCACAACCACAACCACTTCCCAGGTATTCTTTGTATTAAGTTCAATACTAATTCCATATACGTGTTCTAGTTTCATTCTGTTGTTATGATTAAAACAAAAAAACATAAACAAAAAACAAAACAACAACAACAACAACAAAACCACTCTGACCAAAAGCAGCCTAGGAGGAAAATAGGTTTTTTTTTTGGGGGGGTAAACTTCCAGGGTACAGTATATCATTTAGGGAAGGAGCAGGAACTCAAAGCAGGAGCCTAAAGGCAGGGACCATGGAAGAATTCTACTTGATGGCTTGCCCTCTGGGGAGACTCACTCATGTTTAGCTAGCTTTTTGTTACATAGCCTAGGAACACTTACCTGCCTGAGGAATAATGCCATTCACAGTAGGCTGGCCCTCCTAAGTCAATTAATAAACAAGGCAATGCCTCACAGACATGGCCAATTCCCCAATTGAGGCTTTTCTCTAGGCTGTGCTAATTAGGCTAACCAGAACAGTGCCCAAAGTTATTTGCCCCCTTTCCATCATCATACCAATTTCCGATGAATGCTAACTTGCTTTGAAGGTATATACCATTGAAATCTATTTTTGGAAGAAGTTCTTGGAGAAATGTTTGTAATATTAAAAACACCTTCAATATTCACCTCTAAATCATGGTTCTGGTATATTCTGAATGTATTATGAATATCTTTAAAAGTAATTGAAACATTTGATTTACTTTGACAATAGAGTGCAGACGAAATAGTAACATTTTAGGATACAATTTAATGTGGCTAACATTGTGCTAAAAAGCAAAAACTTAAAGCTTTATAAATTTTAATGTATGTGATAATAATAAATTTGGTATTAAGAGGACCTTAGAGTCAATAAACAAGTATAAGTTTATAATTTGTTTGCCATTAACTCCAAAAGCATTATTTATGTGTGTATGTATATAAAACATTCACTACAATAAGCCAAATTAATCAGCGTGTATAGTAACTCCTTATTCTGAGTTAGGGTCTCAACCATCTATGGGTACATGGTTAATGCTTACAAAATTCAGTTAAGAAGAATAAATTCTAAGGTTCCATAGCACTAGAACTAGTTAAATGACTATAGTTAGCAGTTATTATATATTTCCAAAAGCTACAGAAGAGATGATTTTAAATGTTCTCAATACCAAGAAATGTGACTGATATGCTAAATTACCTATTCCAATTT